CAAACTTCGCAGTATGATGCTAGGAAGCAACTTGTAACTGAGTAATGTCAGCCATCATGCGGGCTTGCTGCTCAATGAGAATCAACATCTGACCCATAAGTGTGACAGTGGGATCAACAGGAACAGTAGCCGGAGCAGGCTGGTCGGGTGGCGGAATGGAAGTGGAAGAAGAGGGAATATCTGAAGTCGACGAAGGAATCTTAGAAGGAGGCAGAGGAATAGCTGAGAGATCAGCAAGTAAATCACCCAAAGGATCAGCGAGCACTATCGAGTCGACAGGCTTAGCTGGCTCAGCAGGAACAGATGCAGAGGCAGAAGAAGTGACATGTGACCTACTTTGAGAGATGGTAGTGTGCCCTATGGGATGAAGCACTCGTCGTGAGACTCCATCAAGTGTGAGACCTCAAGTGATGTCACCAAGCGGTGGATCATGCAAGCATAAGGCAGACCAATCCGATGACCGGAAGTGCAAAAGGTACGCAGAATGTGTTGGCAAATGAAGGTAGGTAGGTCAATCGAATATCCATTCAGTAAAGCAAAAAGAAACCTCGCATTGTCCATAGGTAAGGAAGAAGTGTGAGAGACAGGCCACATATTTATACACACAATACGCAACAAAATTTTCCTATCAGTGGGGAGCGAATCAGTGCGGATTGCCGCAGACCCACATCCCAAAGGGCTATTAAACAAGGTGGATCGAACCAGAGAATCGATCGGAATAGAATCAGCCAAGAGATATGGGTAAATGGGGTAAATGATCGGGGAAACATGTATGGAATTGGAAATAACATTAGGTGAAATCCTAAGGGTTTGATCCCGCAGGAACACCCAGAAGGACGAACCACTAATGTCATGGATGTTTACATAGAACTCCTGAACAAGAAGACTAGGCGAGGGGTTTAACCCAATCAGCAAGGATTCCCAACCTCGAGAAGTAAAGATCGCTGCCACATCAGGGAATAGGTCGGATAGAGTAACCTCACGCTCTACTAGGATAGGACGACTGGAAAACTAGCTCCCAAAGACTTCTTGAGCAGTAGAGGAAATGAACCGAGAACGACTAAACGAACCCGATCCACTACCAAGCTGAGCTGTGGTCCTAGCCCTCTTGGGTGCCATCTGCAATGCGAGATGTAGAAGATAAATCAATCCCCAAGGAAAACGAAGTGAAGGAGATGCATGACTATACAAGCCCTAAAGTGCAATCACACACAAGCCCGAGAACTATGACCAAGACATAAGTGACGTGAACTAGACATAAACAAGATCAAGATGAGATTTTGACACACATAAAAACTTCCAATATATTTGGAGAATTGATGAGTCCTATTTCAAACAACCCTCCAAACGTAGTACATGCAATAATGGAGAAGTGTAAGCACCGATTTGGTAGGTGAGTGGTGTGAAGTTTGATGACTTAATAGGAGAAGAGTGCACATCACGTTATAGGAAATAAGATCAAATAAATAATTAACTCACATGTTTAGTATCTAAGACACCAATCACACATGAGAAATGGCACACAATGGGTAAGAGAAGCAAGGCTATGGTGAGGAGACATTTCATCGAGCACATTGTAGGCACAAGAAAGATAAGCTACAAATGTAATAATGCAAGAGACACCCAACAACCCATAATAACACCATCTACCTAGCACACCAAAAACACCAAAGCCTAAAGGAACCAAATGGCGAAAAGAAAAACAAAAAATAACCAACAACCAAACGAAAAATCAAGGCACTTACCAAAAGGGAGGAAGGAATCACCAAGGAATGCACACAAGGAAGGGGAATAGAAGCTCCACATGTGAGAAATCAAGGGTAAATTGACTAAAGAGTGTCGATTTGAGAGAAAAAAATGAGAGAGAGAGATGGGAAGAAATGAAAAAAATGAGATGGAACAGGCGCGAGAAAATTAAAAGTCTTGCTGTCGCTCAAGTTGGTCCAATCAAAGGCAATAGATCACAAATACGGCAAGCACGGTGATTAGAAACTGTTTACCCACACACAGGGACCAAGTACAGATGGAGTAAATTGTATATGTGACCCCTCGTGAAACGTGTCACTCATTCCAAGCAAGTAAGACTTAAAAACCTTAAATTTGTGAGAAGAGACAACCAAATCACCGACGTAGGAGTCAACACTTAGATGTTTGAAGGTCAAATCTAATGCCACTAGGACCTATACTTCGTTAAAATATGGTGTAAAAATGTTCTTTCTCCCGCTGTCATTAAGGACCTCAAAATTTTTTTTTTATCTTACGTGTAATCCCATCTCTATTAAGTTACTAAGAAGACCCCTTTAACGAGTGTTAGGTCGGTGACTTCCAAACCAGTTGGCTTTAGGGCACCAGGTTATGAGAAATCTCTCAAACTTAACTGCTCGAGTTATCTAAGCTCCGAAGATAGGTATAAGATGTGATATAATAAATACTCTGTGGAAACACTCGGGGGTACACCAGAAGTTAGGTCATCTAGTTCAAGATCAATTCAAATCTAATGTCTACTCAACGACAGATGATAGTCATCCCAAGTCTTACACATGCGGTCAAGTCTCACTCACACGGTCCTAGTGTGTGTTGTGCAAATATAATATGAAGTGATATATACTAAGTACTCCATACAGACTCAGGATAAGTGACGGGAATTAGAAACTAATCATGTGTAGAATACACATTTGATTTCAAATTGCAACTCCGAAGGAATAACTACAATGCCAAAATGACATGTGATGATCAATCCTCCCTTTTTTTAATATTATTATTTTATTATTATTGTTATTTTTATTTTTTTTGTTTATTTATAAAAAAAAAATGCAAATGAACACACAGAGGTAACGTAATGAATGTAGAAAAGAATGCATGCATCTATGAAGACGATCAGGGAAGAACATAGATGCCAACAACCTTCCTAAGTGATTCGAATCTAAACCCATCTAGAGGTTTAGTGAACAGATCGGCAAGTTGATTTTCAGTAGAGATGTGTTCAATAGAAATCACATTGGACTCAACTAGCTCTTGAATAAAGTGATGGCGAATGTCAATGTGTTTGATCCTAGAATGCTAAACCGGATTTTTTGATATGTTGATAGCACTAGTATTGTCACAGAAAACAGTTATAATACCCTGGTTTATCTCATAGTCACTCAGCATTTGCTTTATCCAAAGCAGTTGAGTGCAATAGCTACCAGTTGCAATGTATTCTGCCTTGGCTGTGGACAAGGAGATTGAGTTTTGTTTCTTACTCATCCATGAGACAAGATTAGAACCAACATAGAAACATCCACCCGAGGTACTTTTTCTATCGTCGGCGTTTCCGGCCCAATCGACATCAGAATAGTTGGCTAGTTCTAGATTGGACTCTCTGGAATATAAGATCCCATGATCTACTGTCCCATTGACATATCTAATAATGCGCCTCACTACATTTAGATGAGACTCCTTAGGATCAGCTTGAAATCTAGCACATACACCAACACTAAACGCTATGTCAGGTCTACTAGCTATAAGGTAAAGTAAACTGCCTATCATGCTCCTATACACAGTCTGATCAACACTCTTACTTGTAGGATCATGTCCTGACTTAACATTTGTGCTTGTGGGTTACCTTGTGTGTTTCTTACTGTCCAAACCAAATCTCTTCACAAGGTCTTTGACATATTTTGATTGAGAGACAAATAGCCCACAATCAGTTTGCTTTACTTGAAGATCAAGGAAGTAACTTAGCTCCTCAACCATGCTCATTTCAAATTCTTATTTTATGCATTCAACAAATTCAAGAGCAAGAGAGTCAATGGGAGAGCCAAAGATGATGTCATCGATATAGATCTGAGCTACAGCGATAGTTTCTTCAATATGTCTAATGAATATGGTTCTGTCAGCACCATCTCGTGAGAACCCATGCTCAACGAGGTAAGTGGTAAGTCTGTCATACCAAGCTCTAGAAGCTTGTTTCAGACCATACAGTGCTTTATTTAGTTTGTAGACATAATGAGAAAACTTACGATCAATGAATCCTTTCGGCTGTTCAACATACGCCTCTTCTTGGAGTATTCCATTCAAGAATGCACTCTTGACATCCATTTGATATAGCTTGAACCCTAAGGTACATGCAACCGTAAGAAGAATACGAATGGACTCAAGATGAGCAACCGGGGCAAAAGTCTCATCAAAATCTACCCCTTCCACCTGAGTGTACCCCCGGGCAGTTTCTTCAATATGTCTAATGAATAAAGTTCTGTTAGCACCACCACAGGAGAAGCCATGCTCAACCAGATAAGTGGTGAGTCTGTCATACCAAGCTTTAGGGGCTTGTTTCAGACCATACAATGCTTTATTTAGCTTGCAGACACAATGAGGAAATTTAGGGTCAATGAATCCTTTCGGTTGTTCAACATATGCCTCTTCTTGGAGTATTCCTATTCCATTCAAGAATGCACTCTTGACATCCATTTGATATAGCTTGAACCCTAAGGTACATGCAACCGTAAGAAGAATACGAACGGACTCAAGATGAGCAACCGGGGCAAAAGTCTCATCAAAATCTACCCCTTCCACCTGAGTGTACCCCCGGGCAACTAGTCTAGCTTTATTTCTAGTTATAGTACCTTGGTCATCGATTTTGTTCTTAAAAATCCACTTAGTACCTATCACATTAGAGTCATCAGGCCTAGGAACTAGATTCCAAACACTATTTCGAACGAATTGATTAAGCTCCTCATGCATGGCATTCACCCAGCATTCATCTCTAAGGGCTTCCTCTACTTTCTTAGGTTCAATCAGGGATACATAACTAGTATATGTTAGGTTATTTAGAACTCTCTTTCATAACCTCATTCTTTCATCCAAATCCCCAATGATGTTAACCTTAGGATGATTAGATTTGACCCTGGCAGATAGTTCTCTAGGAAGCTTAGACTGATCCCAATTTGGTAGACCCTGCTCAGATATGTTTTCTGAGGACCGTGGAGATTTTGGGATTGGGTGCTCTTTATTTTCAGCAGTGGCTCCTTGATCTTCACTTAGATCTTCTATGTCAACCCCATTTTCTGTACTCTCTCCCTCAGTAAAGGCATCATCAATAACAACATTTACAGATTCCAAGACACTCTGAGTACGCAAGTTGTAAACTCGGTATGCTCTACTGTTCTTAGAATATCCTAGAAAAATCCCATCATCATTTTTGGAATCAAACTTGCCTAGATTCTCTCTATCTCTTAGAATGTAACATTTGCTGCCAAACACCCCAAAGTATTTAACAGTAGGCTTCTTGCCTTTCCAGATCTCATAGGGAGTCTTGTCTGATTTCGGTCTCAAGTATACCTTATTTATTATGTGGCACGCGATGTTAATAGCTTCACCCCAGAAATGTATTGCTAGATCCTTGTCATGAAGCATGGCTCTAGCCATTTCTTAAAGCACTACATTCTTCCCCTCAACAACTCTATTTTGCTGTGGCGTGATTGGTGAGGAGAACTCATGCTTAATCCCCTCCTCCAAGCAGAAGTTTTCTAGATTGAAATTTTCAAATTCTTTTCCATGATTACTTCGAACCCTAGAACTAGGAAGATTTTGTTCAACTTTGAGTCTTTTGTATAAGGACTTAACCAGATCACCCATCTCAGATTTTTCTCTTAACAGATCAATCCAGGTGAATCTAGAAAAATCATCTACCACAAACAGGATATACCGTTTGCCTCCTAGGCTCTTTACCCTAGATGGTCCCATTAAATCCATATGGAAAAGTTTTAGGGGTTTATTCGTCAAGATTTTCAAGGTTCGCTTATGGTTTATCCTGAGTTGTTTTCCTTGTTGACACGGCTTGCACACAGCATTCTCACTTTGATCAATCTTAGGTAAACCATCGACAATCTTCTTTTTGACCAATTTAGACAAACTTCTGTAGTTAACATGATCGAGTCTTTGATGCCAAAGTTCAGACATATCAATTTTAGCACTACTGCATACACAGTTCGAGTTTGAAAGAACTCCATAACAGTTATCAGATGTTCTAACACCTTCAAGAACAACACCACCAGAAGCGTCATAAACAGTGCATCTCTTTTGGACAAAACTCACTTCATAGTCAGCATCACAGATTTAACTAATGCTCAATAAGTTGGACTTAAGGCCATCTACATAAAGTACATTGGATATTGTAGGAAGTCTAGCAATGGTGATGGAGCCTTTACCTCGGATGGGTGCCGTAGCTCCGTCCCCAAATGTAACTACACCGCCATTGCAGTCATCAAGGGTAGAGAATAAGACCTTGTTACCACACATGTTTCTAGAATAAGCACTATCATGATACCACATGTATGTAATTTGTGCCTTATATACAACATGAGCAACAAAACATTTTAGATTCTCAGTATATTCACCCACATCAAATTTCTTTACCCAAACTTTTCTCAAGGTCGAGGTGATCCTAGTCAACCTTGTTACCATCTCAGTTAAGTGGCTAACCTGATTTGAAAGGAAGTTAACTTGACTAGGGATATCCTGACTTCGATTCCTATTTGCTAGCTTTCGACACCTAGGTCTCGTGTGGCCTAAGGCACCATAGTGATGACAAGTGGGTATGAACCTAGGTTCAAATGTACGTGAGTGATGATTATGAAAATTAGGTGTAGAGGTCTTATGAGCTCTAATGGCCTTCAGTCCATTAAAATTTTTATCTTTGGATTCTGGATTTGTTGAAACATTAGATCTGTTGGAAGCGGGGACAAATGTGGTCTTTGATAAACTAGACACATTGCTATCACTCTTCACAAATCCTAGACCTTGCTTATTTCCAGCTGGTTTGTTCATTCCTAACAGATCGTCTAGTTTCTTAGTTCCACTCACAAATGATTGTAGTTGAGTGTTGGATTTCTCTAATTCACTGGTCAATGTCTTGACCCTGTCCTCTAATTTCTCATTAACACACTTCAACTTATTGAGATTCTTAGATGAGACTTGAAGATCATAGGTGATTTTCTCCTTCTCTCTCTCAAGCTCGTCTACCTTCTTAAATAGGGCTTTATTTACCTTTTTGATCTTTAGACTTTCCTTAAACAGAAGTTGATAAGTCTTATGTATATCCGTTTCATCCTCCGAATCATCACCGGACTTATTACTCTCCACTTCCTCCTCAATCTTCTCACTTCCTTGTCTGACTCGCTCTTGACAGTAGATACAAAAGTCATATAGCCCTTTCCTCCTCACTGCTTGAGGAATCACTTTGTTCACTTAAATTAGAATCATCATCAGTCAAGGACACAATTAATGCCTTCCTACTCCCCTTCTTTAGACTTTTCTTAAAGCTAGGACATTCATTTCTAGAGTGCCCAAATCCCTGACACTCATGATACCTAACCCCTTCAAATTTCTTATTAGGGTTCCCAGCAGTTGATCTATCATCCTTCTCTCTTTGCAATTTACTAGGGGCTCCTCTCCTTTTCTCTTGAGGTCATTTTTTGCGCTTTAAGACTTTTTGAAATTTTTTCACAAAGTAGGCAATCTCCTCATCTCTAAGAGTTTCCATGTCAGATGTCTCAGACTCCCCTTCCCTAAGAGTGTTCAGGGCTATGGACTTGTTTTTTCTTGGTTGTGAAATGGTGAGTTCATAGGTTTGAAGGGATCCTACGAGTTCTTCTATCTTAATTGTATCCAGATCCTTGCTTTCTTCAATAGCTGTAACTTTAGGTCAAAATCTCTCGGGCAAAGATCTAAGAACCTTCCTCACAATTTTGGGCTCTGGAATCCTCTCACCTAGGTTGAAACTAGAGTTAACAATGTCATTCAATTTGGCATAGAACTCATCAAAAGATTCATCATCCTTCATCCCGATTTCTTCAAACCTTGAGGTTAGCATTTGCAATTTTGAATTTTTTACAGTTTTAGTTTCCTCATGCATAGTCTCTAGAATGTCCCATACCTCTTTAACAGTTTCACACATTGATACTCTCCTAAATTCTTCGAGAGACACGGACATAAACAAGGCATGAAATCCTTTGCTATTCTAATTGCAATCAGTTAATTCTTCCTTAGTCCAAAGTGAAATATCAGTTAGATTGACAACACCTGACACAGTTGTAGAAGGAGGTTTCCAACCATTTTGTACACTCACCCAAACACGTTCATCTAAGGACTTAAGAAAAACATGCATTCTAATCTTCCAGTAGGCATAATTGCTTCCATCAAACTACGCAGGCACAGATAGCGATTGACTCATCTAGACAACAATGGATCAGGACTCGAGTTTTGGCTCTGATACCACTTGAAATATCGTAGTTCGACCCAATCAACACCTAGAGGGGAGTGAATAAGTGTTTATGCAGAATTTTCTTTTTCAATCAATTAATAATTGCAACACGTCACAAAAATTAATTTATCCAGATCAGTTTACATGCTTTACTATCCTATGTTTGAATACCGGTCATAAATTAATTGTAGAAAGATAAATAACACAATTGTTTGATAATGGAGAAACCCCAATGTGGATAAAACTTCGGGCCCAAGCCAGTAGGAATCCACTATAAACGTAAATGAAATTTACAATCAGCCAGACTCAACCTACACTGGTTTTTCTGATATCCTGACCATAGTTTCCTTAAGGCCTTCCTGGAATGCGTGATCCTGCACAAACTCCCGACACCTAGCCCTCCTGGATTGCGTGCTACACCAATTCTCAAGTCTTGATTTTGTTTATCTCCTGTGGATTCAAGAGAACCGCCTGTTCTCTAATGATCGGGACT